CTTGTAGCACACTGCAGCTAAAACTGAAGATGAGCCAGCTTGTTTTGACTCCTGCAGAACTGACAAATGGTATTCTGCTGCTTGAAGGACAAAGGGATAGAGCGTCAATTTTTGTAAGCTGTTGAGGCTGTGTGTTCATGTTGTGTTGTTATTCCCCTCTGCCCCCAAGATGCTCACGTAAACTGTGCCTGGAAGGTGTAAGCATAAAGTAAAGAAAGAGGGTAAAAAAGCATTTGCCTCAGAGCTGTGGTGCTAGAATTACCTGCTGCTTAAACTAAGTGTTCCTACATCCTCAGGAAGTACTTTATGCAGAACAATGTTTTTCAGTCTTGTAAAGCCTTTAACTAAAACTTGGTCTGTAGGTGGACATAGGGATGAGGTTGTAGCAGTAAGATGGAAAGAAAGGAAAGCAGCAATCTTCTGAAAGTGCTTCCAGTTACTGACTCTTACATTGTTAAGTGCTTTCTCCCATTGATTTGCTTTTGGTGATACCTTGCTGTCAGAGCAGAGAAGTCACACCACTGAGTTCAAGATCATGATACTGCGGGCCAGAGCTTCTGCAGCACTGGTGCAAACTGCCACCTAAAACTACTGTTGCCTTGCGTGGTGAAGAAGTATCTGTGGGGTGGCTTTTTTGAGGCCAAGTGCCCAGTACACGTCAGACTGTGAAGTGGCTCCTCTGTGCAGCTCTGATGCTGCTGGACTTGTTCTAGCAAAAAAACCACAGATGGCTGAGACCTAGGTCATTTTTAAGGAGAGGGCTCAGAGGTTTGGGTTTTGTTGTTGTGGGGTTTTTTTTGGTTTGTTTTTTGGTTTGTTCCCCCCCCCCCCAAAGCTGTGTGCTAGGCTCCTGAACTGTGTGGGAATGGCTCAGAGTACCTGGACTGTTGAAAAAGGTCACTCTATGCATCATCTGCCTTGGTGATAGAGCACATACTGCAGGGCAGCAACACCTGTAACTTGTTTGCCAGGTTCTCTTTATCACCAAGCCTGTTGCAGAGCCCCTACATGCTCCTGTTTGTTAGAGCTGTATGGCACACAACCTAGCAAGACAAGGGTGCGTTTGATACAGGATTGCTATGGCAGGATGAGTTCAAGGAGCCGGGCTGGTAAGGGACAAAACATGATTGGTGTGTAGTGTGAGCTGTGGGGGGCAAGAGGGAACCATTGCAACATAGCTCTTATTGATGCAATGAGAATAACTTATCATTTTTTTTGTCTAAACCTTTTTAAAAGTTTTGAATAAAATAACTGGTCTGTCTGTCTTGTCTCTTCAGTTGGATAGTTGTGTGACATCTGCTGTGGAAGGAAGGGCTGCTCAGTGACTTGTGGTTCTCCCCGCTGAGCAGCCTTTGTAGCCCACACTGCCTGGGGCAACAGTTCATTTACCTGCTCTGTCCTTTTATCCAACTCCAACTATCTGAAATGTAAACTTGAGGTAGGAGCTAGCGCAGTTAGTGATCATCACCTGCAGAACCATGTGCCAGCACTGCAGCCTACGAGGGACTCCTGTTCTCTAGTCCCAGCCCTGTGGGGCTTGGCCTTTGGGAGTTCAAGGGCTGCGTCACTACCACCATGTCGAACAGGAGCACCAAAGCTGCTGGTAAGATGAAAACGCTGTGCAGTTTTATTTGTGTGCACATACGTGTACCCTCTCACAGCCCCGCCCTTCTTGGTGGGCAGCCAGAGGACACATGCACAGAATTTAACCTTTTCAGTGGCACTTAAGTTATGGGGGAGGAAGTATGAAATTTTAAGATGTACACACATAATTTTTTACAGGATTTGGACTTCCTGTCTCAAACATTTTGAGACTTTTAAATCTTCAGTGACATCACCCAACCTCATTGCTCAGACACACACACACACAAAATGCATGAGTTGTGTTGGTAAGGCCTGGCCAAATTAGTAATTTGCACATCATGGTTATCAACCCAGCTACTTGCCACCATGCCCCGTAAACTAAACACAGTGTCACACTTTTAGCTACTCATATATTTTTTTAATAGAAAGCAGAGTAACTGTATTTTTAACATGACGCTTGACTAATTAAAAAAAAAAACAAACAACAAAACCCCCAAAAAAACCCCAAACCACAACTAATCTTTTGCACCTTTAAAAGTGATTTTTTTTTTTTTTTTTTGGCCAAGAAAACACAATTCAAGCACTATCCATCTGATTTAAAGTGTCTCCACAGGCTTAGTGTGGAAGAGCTTTCTTCACAATTATGAATCATTAGTAGCTACATAAATTGCTTTTTATTTTGATAGCTGAAGTAAATGTATTGTTAGAAAAAATGACCTCTTAAGATGCAGTACAACTGGACTAATGCACATTACATACCACAGTTAAAAAACCCAAACTATCTTGACTGAACCAAAACAAAATGACAAAGTGAAAGGGGCTGGTGGTGGGGTGTGTGTGTCTGTCTACATGTACATATTAGTAATAACTTTTTAAAAAAAAAAAAAAAGCAAAGCATATAACAAAGGTAAAAAGGACAAACAGGAAGAACTAGAGCATTAATACCAGTCTCCTGCCTCTGTGACAAACTCTTAGCAAAAGGGCAACATCACTATGGGACAGCTCAAGAAGGTCCTGGCTGGTGAGCAGCAGCTGTGTGTCCAGCAACTTAACCCATGGATTAGGCTTTAACAGGGTATCAGACAATTACTAATCAACTGAGTAATTTCTCCAGAATGACAGACATCATTTACATTAAATTATTTAAAAAAAGCCCAGAACTTAAACACCCCCAAGCCCAAACAAAAAAAAAAAAAACCAAAAAACCAAACCAAACCCTTTAAAGTAAAACTGTAGGAATGTGGGACCTAAAAAAAAATTGAGACCATGGAGACTGCTGCATCAAAAAACCAGACTGGAAAAAGCCTTATGAAAAAAAAATCAGTTAATATACTTGGTAACAGAGCAGGTTCTGTTGGGTTGGTTTGTTTAAATGTCTCGAAGAATGACACTGCCCTGCAACCCCCAGCTCGGTGTCTGGCATATCACTAATGACAGTCATTTGTGTAAAGCAGCTCTTCATGGTGTCCATGGAAATAGGCGTAATTATAAAGAAAGAGCTAAATAAACCTTCTTTTAGAATAATTTCTAAACTAGGAATGCACTCCCACAGGGGAGAGCTATCACACCAAATAATCAAACTTAGAGAGACGTTAAAAATACGGTCCGTTCAGAAAGCCCAGAAGAAAAACTGTATTTTATGTGCCCATAGTAAGTGGATGCCACTTTCTTTAAAACTTCTAAAAGAACAAAAATTTAATTAAAAAAAAAATATGTTACAAAAGGCACTATTAAGCTTGCAAAAGCATTAAGTGCAGTGTTTTTTTAGGTTTGTACCAAATAATGACCCTACTGACGGGTGTACAGTTTGTGTGTGTGTAAAAGGCACTATTAAGCTTGCAAAAGCATTAAGTGCAGTGTTTTTTTAGGTTTGTACCAAATAATGACCCTACTGACGGGTGTACAGTTTGTGTGTGTGTAACAGTCCCTCTGCAGTGTGCAACAGCCACCAAACCCTTCCCGCCCTGGATTCCTAAACCCAGGCTCTGTGTGGGGAGAGCTGCAGGTGGCCTGCCCCCCTGCCCCCCCCGCCCCATCCTGCCTCCACCGGGGTCCCTGCTGCCCTGCACTCAGCCTACAGCCCGCCACGGCCCTGCCGCGCACCAGTGAATCCAAATCCGTCCCCTTTTACCAGCACAGCCTTGGCAGATTTAATTTTCTGATCAGATTTACGTTGTAACGAGAGCTAGGTTTTTCTTTTTACTAGAGCCCTATCAACACTAGAGAGCTCTGTTTCTGGAACCCTTCTTTCAAGCAACGTTACAACCATTACCTTGATACGGAAAACCGTCTTGCGTTTTTGAAAAACATTCTTCAATCTCAGCATCCTACTGTCCAAACAAGTCATTCTTACAGAAGGCTAAAGAATAAAATTATTGAGTGCTGTAACAAAAACTCATTACCACAGCAAGACCAGAGACATAGTAAAAGCTTAGATTTCAATAAAAAATATTGTTAGTCCTTATTCCTCTCTCTTTTCAGGAGCCACATCATGGGTCGCTGGCTCCCACGCCAATATATTACAAACTAGACCATTAAGGTATGTTGCTGGTAAATTCGCTGAAATTATTGCTGATGTGCTTTTCTGTAATAACTATTAAAATCTGCTAATGTTAAAAGCCTCAGTGGGAAACAAACCAGCTAATTTTTAGATATTTTTTTTTTAATCTTCAAACTAACATTTAAAGGCATACCAGTAATTTCTATAGTGCCCCTTTACTAAAACACTCAGTAGATCACGGTGTTTTTAACAGCCTCAGAACAAGCAATGACTCAAGGTTTTCTGTGTAAACATGTGCATACGTACACACATATATAGAAGTGTGTGTGTGTGTGCGTGTGTCTTCAACTGCCTAGACCACACTGCTGGCTCCAAGCACTTACTTTCTGTTTACGCATAGGGTTTCGCATTCATACTCGGTACCACCCAGGCTTTGTTTCAGGCTTTTCACTTCGAGCATTCCCCTGCAAGTGGAAGAACATTTGACTTCTTGCATCAGTTTCCTCTTGTAAGGTTTCTGGTTGCTGATGATGTGCTTCCTCCAGACAATCCAAGCAAAAGAAACGCAGTTGAGGGCTAAGGGGTTCGGTACAACAATGACACTGGTGATCGTGCAATACCACCACTTACAAGTGAAGGTTCAGCTCGCTGCTTTACTGGCAACAGGGGTTAATTCATAGCTACTGGACAACTGCACTGACTCTCACTAACTCCTTGCATATCACCAGTAATCTATCTCGTATATGGCATAAAGACATATATTCAATTTTTTTTTTTTTAAACATACAGTTGTCCTCAATTGAGGAAAAAATAAATAGCCAAGTACAAACCTCATGTCACTTTAGTAACATTGTGGCTTTTTCCTCCACTCTATCAATGAAAATATAATCAAAGTCTCAGGAAGAGAAATCGTATTTTAGTGGGCAGGAGGCTCTGAAAAATAACGCAGTTTTAACAGAGCATGGTTGACGCAAGCTGGACTGTAGCGCCCAGGACTCCCGGGGTCTGGAGAGAATGCGGGAGCATTGCCGTATTTCCCTGGACTTCCTGTTATGGGACTGTTTCTTCCTGAAGTAGAATACACTGAAGCATTTGGAAGGCCAGCAGCGATGGTTTGGGACTTGAATTTTGCCTTCAGCGCTGGACTTGGCCAACTGAAAGAAACAAAAAGTCATTTTGCATTTTGTTAAGAACACTGCAATCAGAAGAGCAGTACTTTTACTCAGTATCACTTTTAAGGTCTTAGAAATGATGCACCAGCAGAGAAAAATCAGAACTGGTAAGACAGAGGTCTGAGAAGAAACAGCAGCAGCACTATATATGTAGGCATGCTGCCTCATCAGTAAGATGTCATGGTATAATGTGGGGTTTTTTTTAAATTAAAAAAACCCCCGCTCACCCACCCCCAACTATGAAAGACACGCATTCACACAGCTTATTTAAAATCTTTAAAAAAAAAATTTTCCTCTGACAGACCTACTGGTATCTGTATCGTTAGGTCTGATTTTTGCAGTTACATACCTAAACACAAAGTGATCTCCTGCTGTTTCTTTGCTTTTGGCAGAGGTAGCACTGCAAAATTAAGGAGGCTAACACAGCGAGCCTTGGCATTGTCAAATAATTACAGTAATCGTTTTTGCTTATGCACTAGAACAGTGATTACACCTAAAAATCTTGTGTTAAATGTTAGCACTTTAGAAGAACACCTTGGACCTTTCAGACAGTGGAATAAGAATGAAAAAGCCTGACAAGTTAGCCTATTTCTTTCAAAAAATTAATCACAAAAATCAAGGGACTACAGAATTTGATTTTCAAAAGCAAAGTAGTACAAGGACACCATATCAACCAGGGATATGAAAATGTTTCTACTCCACTTGGAATCACAGAAAAATCTCAGTGAGCTTCATGCTTTTCGTAAAACTACACTCGATGGCCCTCTTTCAGTGCACTGCTTGACATAGAGAGGCAAAAGAAAGCTGCTTGCTTTCCCCGTGCTCAGCCCTGGGCAGCGCCTCTCCTTCCACTTACCATGGCACTTCTGTCAGCCCTGTCACGTGTTGTTTTAACTCTTTCCACAACATTCCTCCTGCTCCAATCTCTGCTAACTTAACACAGTTGCGCTTCTCAGCTGCTGGTTCCCAACTCCTACTCTGAGTTTTGGGGCCAATAAAGCCAGTCAATTACATTTTTAAAATTCTCACAAGCTCTGACAGAGCTTTAAAGTCTCTGTTTTTAAAGCATGTTTTGAAAAATTAACATTTAATGCCTATATTGAGAACTTGGTTCTCGTAATAAGTGGAATTTCGTGCATTTAAGAAAGCTAGAAGAAACAAGAGAAAAATAGAAGTTAGTACAGGTCATTTGATGGCTTTCTGTTCCTGCCCCCTTTCCAGTCTGTTGTGTGGCACTGGGTCATCTCTTTTCTGAGAACTTTATCATGACTATATATAAGTTGTAGGCTGTCTAAGCACGGGAATCTTCAGTGTTCTGACCAATGTCTCTCACAATGGAAATAAATCTTCATATTAATACATTTACCAAAAGAAGCCACTTGTATGAAAACTGTTGCTTTGGGTCGCCAAAAGCAACAGCATTCAAAATAAACCGTATAAACGGCATAACATGTATTCAGGCGTCCCAACAAATGCAGTCTGCTTCCATCGTTTGTGTAGGAAAACATGACAATTCTCTCTAAAAAAACTTAACACGCACCATCATTCACACTAAAAATCCCTTTGGACTGGGGCAACAGAAGGTAAAAATAACAATAGCAATAAATGAGGATATTAAATTCACTTTAACATCACTCTGCACAACCTTAGTACCTCAAAGCAATACAATATCCACAACAGACGAACTACCAACTGACATCACAACTACCATTAAGACCCATAAAGGATCCAAGTACAAAGCAATAAATCAGCAAACTGAGACATTTGCCAACTGGAAAACCCTGACACTCTCGAGGCCTTCAGTCTTCTGTCTGATTTGTCTATATAGACATGCTGAAGTTATTTGGAACTGCAATGTAATGGAAGGAATTTGACTGCAGCACCAGTAAACTTATCAACAGACACCAGCCAAAAAGGCTTACTGATTTAATTTCAGAAACGCACTAATAGTTAATACAACTGAATATTTAAAACAAGGGTTTTGTGAAAAAGGCCTGAAATTCCAGCTGTTCTGCAGCCGACCCACTAAAAATTTTATTTCAACTCATTTGACCGAATTTGCAGAAATACCTTTGCCTGTCAGATGAAGAGTATGACTGCACCGCATGTTTCCACTTGTAAATAGTCGGGTATTTCTGTGGATCAATCTCTACTGCTTCTATAGCTGCTAAGACATCACTATCCAGCTTGGAAGGCTGCTCCCTAGAATATAAACAGAACTAGATGAAAAGAGAACTATGTATCTGGTCAGGCAATAAAACATCCCAATTCCAAAACATTTATTTTTGATATAAGCAAACAAATTGCCCATACTCCTCTATAATTATGGTTTCTCTATGAACTTTTTCCAGCAGGCCCATGCATAAATGTCCATTAATTAGACTCATAAAATAAAAGTTTTGAAAAATTAATCTAAGGACACCCCAAGAGTGTAGCAAACACTTTGTTAGTCTAAGTCAGGCTCATCATGAAGTCACAAGCCTGTCAGATGAATGGTACACAGCAAAGTTAACTGAAACCCATTTGGAAACAAAGACTTCTCTTCTTCCGTTTTAAGTGTGGTATTCAGGTAATGAGTTGCGAAAGAACTGTACGGCTACTGTACAAGTATTGAAGCAAGGCTCACTGCAACAAGTGTTGCTTAGTATCACACTGTCTCAACCTTGCTGTCAGTGATATTATAAAAAGCATCTTGTTTTGCCTACATAAACCAAAGGACAAGTAAGTGTGAAAAAAGACAATTCTTACCCAAGCAGGAATAACTTCTTAGAATCGTCATTTGTGGGTGAAGCCTTCAAAAGAAATTTCTGGGAAGAAAGTTCTTGACGTTGTTGTGCCTCATTAGTCTGAACTGCAGATTCCATGGACAGTCTCTCTTTTGCTGATGGCACTTTGTGTTCTGTCCTTAACTTGGTCTCTCCAGGTTTACCTGTAACACTTGGCTCAGAAAAACTTGCCAGTGGAACCGCATAGCAGCTCTTATCCAGATGGTCCTTGGGTGGTCTCACCTGCCTTGTTCCTTCAGCCAGAATCCTCTCATTCTCAGTTTTTTCAGCAATTTTATTTGATTCTCCTGCAACCTCTTGTTCTTGGAATGACAGGCTTTCAAATTCTGACATTAAATTGGAAACGGGCGATATGAGGCATTGTTCTCCGTCATGCAAATGCCTTCTGTCACTAATTATCATTTCACTGGACACAGGATTACAAAATCCATTTTTGCTGGAAGCCAATTTTTCATAGTGCCTGGGGCGATCCGATGTTTCTATAATGTTTACTGCACGCTCCATTGACAAGATATCACACTCGGCGTCCCCTATAGCATCAATGTTAGGTTCTTTGGACACAATAGGTTGGCTGATATTCCGTGCTGCATTTTGTCTGTTTTTAATTTCTTCTAAGCTCATATCATCGTCATCCTCATCCAAAAATGCTCCAACAGAAATAGAATTGCAGCACTTTTTACTCTTACCTGTAAACAATTTTAATAAGAGCAACACATGAAAAGACTTTCAACGGAAGGCAAATCAAATAAACTAGGAACAAACACACAGTCTTTGTGCCTTACTCTGTTTATTGATGTGCTGATTTTATTTATGCAACAGCATGAACTAACCTAACTAAAGCTACAAATGCAACATGATACCATTTCAGCTGTATCTTTTTTGCAAATAACCTTTTAAACTGTAGTCATTTGAAAACTGCACTTCCTACACTCCCCACCTCGCTCATTAATCAGCAACAAAGGATAAAGTCAGGATAAAGCAGAACAGGGTAGGAAAATGTTACTAATACAGAATAGCTTAAGTTCTCATCTCTTCCAAAGCACAAAGGCTTATGACGAGTTCAACGACTATCCTTCAGGGTCCTGTCAGCCCAGGTTTATCCCAGTACCAGAGCCCCTTCAGATCTACAATCACACAGGAGAGATGGGAGGAAGGAGCACAAAGATTTGGGACTAGTGTGTGCCTTCCATAAACACATAGCAAGCAGTGGTCTAAGAAGGTATAAAAGCTTTCTGGGGTTTTGTTCAGTGCGTCTTTCACCCTCAACTGTAAAGAATTATTCTTTTATTTTAAAAAGTTGTTTTTTCTGTATCTGTGGATTACAAAACTCTATTAAGCCAAGTTCCAAAATGCTGAGGAAAAATTTACTGAAGATCGAGGTATTCTAACAGGAATTTCATTTGGGGGCTACAATCAAATGAAGTACTTCAAATGAAAGGTAACATCTAATGAGGTCTGTTCCAACTCTCCTACATTCACACTGCTGTTAGCTACTTTTTCAATACTATAATCAGACTGTTTGGATAACAGGTTAATAATAGCAACCACAACAGGGGAATACTACTTCCCCTGGGCACCAAGCTTTTTCTCTCTTTTCCCTAGGTACAACCTGTTGTTTGTACTCTCTGTCCTTTTCTTACCAGAAGGATGTGGAGTTTTGTATCTATTGCAGGTTTCATTTTCCCCTGTTTCTTCCTGAGCCTTTTCGCTCATTTCCCGATGACTCAGGTACTCTTCTAATTTTCGCAACCCCTCCTGGGAAGACAGATCAACAAAACAGCCCAGAAATTCCCAGTATTCAACCCACGGGAACCCCAGTTCATGAGCTAACTCCCTGCAATAAATAAAATAAAACGAATCATTTGTGAAGACATAAATATTAGTTTGACAATAACTTTTCTGAACACATATTAATCAGCTATTAATAGGAGTACAAACGTGCAACTAGGCAACACAATTCTGCAACAATCAACAGTCTGCAAAAGCGATATACACATCCTTAGCAAACATAGTATCGTCTAATTTTTTCTAGAATATTTTCCAAATTTAATCTACTATTCTTACAGTTAGCACCATAAATATTGCTATTTTTAAGCTAGCTATATCTAGACATCAGATAGAGATGAATCCCCACTGATGTAGGCATAATTTGAATGATACTCCATTCAATAGCTTTGTCTATTTGGGAATGGGGGAAGGGAGGAGGAAGTCAGGGGTTGTTTTAAAGAAAGAAATCTAATCAGCTTTTATCAAAGTATGTTTTTTCCATATATTACTGATACAAGGTATTTTAACAGCAAGGACACGTATCACAACACGGAGCTTTTATAAAGCAGCACAGTTGTATTAGGATCTGTTCATTCTGCTCTCTTTAACAATCGCTCAATTTTACAGAAAAAGTAGGCTATGCATAATTTTAGATCTTCTGACAAATTAGGCAAGTAAATGTTTGAGAAAAGCATTCTGTACATACTATCAATAATAGTTAAAGTATCTTTTTATTTCCAAAGCTAAGAAAGCTAGCTCTTGCATTTTTAGCTATTTTGTTTGCACAAAAATACAGTAAAAATCCAACTACAATATACTTCATAAATACTTCTGCCAGTAACTTTTGCTCTAAGATATTGTTCGGTAAGTAATAACCATACTCTCAGCACAAGTCTTTTGCTTTCAATTGCTCTATCACTAATTTTTTTATACCAATACTCTTTTAGATACCTTCCAACTCTTTCAACACCTCTCTCCAGATCAGATTTCCTGACATTGTGAAAGAAGCCAGCTCGCTCTCGAGGTGGTGTCTTCCAAAGCCTGCGGAATTCTTCAGCCTTTAAAAAACAGAAATAATTTAAAAAAAACTACCCCGCACAATATGAAGCTAACTCGGTGCTGCCTAAAGGTCTCCCTATAGGTCTAGAAAACATTTAGCTGTTTGCTGTCTACATGTAAACAACCCAAGGTCTGCCACAAGTATTGCTCAACTCTGGCTATGAAGAATCTTGTATTAGACCTTAAAGTTACTCCTCCCAGTATTACAGGTTACTTTGATCTCACAACTACTTATTAAAAGAGTAAGGACCATAATGTACAACCATCTTAAAGTAAACTGTGTAGGTACCAAGTCTGCCCGGTTTTAATTTGTGTGCAGCAGGAAAGAGAAGAATGTCTTAAAATTATAATGACGTGGCAAAATTATATTTAATTACAAATGCTCTCTTGATCACTGTTTTCTAGGATGCAAAGGTGATATTTTTATATGCATATATTTAATTCCCTCGACTTGCTACAATTATGAGAATATGCTTGCTATTTTGAATTTGAACTCCGAAAGGGAATAAACTAACGGATTTTTTTAAGCTCACAAACTTTATGCCTTTACATGACAAAAATCAGCAATGATGACTAAGAATTACATTTAGACATTAAGAGTATCTGTCAGCAAGCAAAAGAATGCATTTTTTACACCTCAGCTAAAATTTTTCAGAATATATTGTATATATACGCATTTCTCTCAGATGAACAGTAAATTAACCAACGAGCATATTTAGAAGAAAAAGCATTAAGCATTTTGGTAAAACTCAGTCCTGAAGAATTCAAGCATCAGATGACAGAAAGTTGTGGCTGCCCCCTCCCAAGGCCAGGTTGGATGGGGCTTTGGGCAACCTGGGCTAGTGGAGGGTGTCCCTGCCCATGGCAGGGGGGTTGGAGCTAGATGGGCTTTAAGGTCCCTTCCAACCCAAACCAGTCTGGGATTCTGTGAAAGCCCTCGGTTGTATTTATTCACCATTTCTAAAGCTGTCATACTTCCAGCATGTTCACATTAAACAAATGAGTCAAAGAAATGCCCGCAAGTTTGTAATATATTTAACTGGTATCTAAGTATTCCTCCTGAAAATTAAAGATTTTGCCTTTCTGCCATACAATCAATACTTTTCCAAAACTATCCCAACACCTACTTCTTGGTCATCAGTTTTTCCAATTATAAAAATATATTAACATTAATTCAACGAACAGAGGTGATAAACTGCTTCTAACATCCAGTGTCAACTTCTAGAAATGAGATATAGTTAAGATTTTTTAAACTGATTCATAGCTGCATTGAAAGGCTTTGTTTCAGATTAGAAAGAGCAATTATCTATAAGACAATGAAAGGTTTGTCAGAGTGCTTTTTGACTAGATTCCAATAGGAAAAAGAACAGAACAACTCTCTTTTGACTGAATTTCCACTCTTATTTACACCACAGGTTTCTGTTTTTAGCAATAAAAATATTTGGAAGTATCAGTCCTTCTCCTTCTCTATGGAGGAAGATCCATCTCTTCAAGAAAGAGAGCACCACAATTTCTAACAGGAGCAAGCTACACCACACAATGAACCATGGGTGGATCTTCTACTGGTTCTCCGTTAACAAAAAGGAAAAAAATAGGCCTTAGAGTCATACGAAGTTCTCTCCTTACCTTTGAGGGGCTCATGGGGCCTGCAAAAGCTCTTATTGACAACACTGGATCTTTGGGGCTGCCAGTGTATTTAGATAATGTTCTTTGAGGGCTATCATCTGTCTGATCGGGTGACCATGGCACACCAATTACAGGAGCTGAGGAATTGTCTTCTGCTCTCAAGAGTGGTACATAGTATCGACCTAAAATAAATAATACAAAGCTTTCTTAAAATGTTTATGTTACATTAGCCCGCTGCTTCACCAATATACCCGTATACTTAACCATCTGACTTTATTTCCTTAGTAAAACTACTTGTAATTCAAACTCATTGTTTCAATATTTATTGCATGTTACAGATTGTATTTAGTACAGGCTCCCTTCTCTCTCAAATACAAAAATAACTGCATTGATACATATATCCCTTCCCTAAGGATCTTCAAGAAATTTCAAAACCTCCTTTTGCAAATGCCTAAACTCACATGTGACAAAACAGTGAAAAGTTCTACGTCAAAGAAATTACACGACTCCGCAGCGTGACAAATAAATCTCTTGCTCTGTAAAGGTCTTTTGTTTGCTTTTAGATTAAACTTTCTGCTTCAGTCTCGCTCAATAAAATAAGGGCCATGCCTATGTTACAGAGCTACGAGGATAACCTTGTGATACATACGGTAAGAGTTCTGACCGTGTAATTAAAAAGACAAAAAGTTTTCTGTTTCTTGTCAGTTTTAGAGTTTCTCTTTGGTTTTCACACCACTCTGCAGTAGCATCATTTACAAACAGGA